ATCAAGTCGCGTATATCCCCTAGGAAATTGTGCTATTTAACTTTTAATCTCAAATTGAGATATAAATCTAGAGAATTTAATGTATTTGAATATATTCTTATGCCTCAAGACTATATCTCTAACCTTCCCTTTTTATTGAATGGAAGATTCTTAATTATAGACCTTGATTAGGTCTATAATGGAGTACCCAGATGATATGGAACCATAACATTTTGTATTATTCAAATGACCAAAATTTATACTTTTAGTCGAGCCTGATGGTTTAACCGGCTGACTTCAATTTGGTCTATGTTTCGACTTTCTTGATTGGATTGAATCCTTGGATATTATAATTGAGGTACAACAACTTTCGAACCTGACTCTTTCGTCCCTAATTTCTAAAACATGTCCAACTTTGAAATTTTTGCTCAATTATTGTTCATTTTTATCCATTCTCGTATAATATAGAATTTTCTCCTAAAATAATCAAACAAACATATAAAGTTAAGTATCTCGTTCATAAAATTATTCCAAAAAGTTAATTTTGATGGCTAAGATAAGTGTAATTTACACTTGTAACGTACATCCCTCCCAAGCCTAGTGAAGTCTTACTTTGAACTCCTAGCCTTGGCCTCATCCACCTTGAGTGGGTTAGCATTTACACTCATGAATGCCTCAACTTAGGTTTTGTGCTTGTTGACATCTTCCACTTAATTTCTCGAAATGTTAAATATAATCCATATACTTTGACTTTACCTACCTTGTGCACGTCGAACTCATCACCCACAAAAGCATTGAGTTCAACATTGTGCCTATTGACATCTTACACTTAGTTTTGGCAAGTGTTAAATATGATCTATAGGTTTTGGCCTCCTCCACTTTACGCAAGTCGACCACCTCACTTATGGAAGTACTCGACACATAGGCTTGGACTTATGAGGACCATTGGCCCTAAAGTTCATCATCCTTAAATTGACCACACGGCTCTTTTGTAGCATCTACTCCACACGTTGGATCCTACATGACATTAAATAGGTC